GACCCTAAGAGGGACACACATGGAGGGCTCCAGGAAAAGAAATAGTTGAGATCTCCTGGGTTAACTGGAAGGTGGGTAGAAGGGAGGAGATGGGGGATGGGAACATGAGGGATCAAGAAGATCAAGTTGGGGGAGGACAGAGGAGGAAACCAATGAAAGAGATATCTTGATAGAGGGAGGCATTTGGGGGTTTAGGGAGAAACCTGGTGCTGGAGAAATTCTCAGAAATCCACATGGATGACCCAAGCTAAGACTCCTAGCAATAAGGGACAGGGTGTCTGAACAGGTCTTCCCATTTAATCAGATTAGTGACTACCCTAATGGTCATCATACATCCAGTAACTGATGGAAGCAGATGCAGTGACTGACAGCCAAGCACTGGGCTGACTCCTGGAGTGCAGTTGAAGAGTGGGAGAAGGCATCATTGAACAGGGCAGGGGTCAAGACTATGATGGGGAAAACTAGAGAGACAGCTGGCTGAAGCTAGTGGGAGCTCATGGACTATGAATTGACAGCTGGGGAACCTGCATGGAATGGAAGTAGACCCTCTGAATGTGTGTGACAGTTATGTGACTTGATTTGTTGGTGGGGGCTGGCAGTGAGACCAGGACCTAACCCAGGCACTCCATATGGTAGGATAACTTGCTTAGCCTAGATGCAGGGAGGTGAGCTTGGTCCTGCCTTAACTTGGTATGCCAGACTTTGGACTCCCCAACGAAGGCCTTACCAGTCTAAGGAGTGGATAGGAGTGGGAAGGGGGGAAGTTTGGGGGAGGGGGATGAGAGAAGGAGGGAAAGGGAACTGGAGTTGGTATATAAAATGAAAAATAAATTTTTTAAATTAAAAAAGTGTGCCTTATAAACTTTAAATTGTTCCCCAAGATTTTCTGCCTCAAAGCCATTAACAAAAAACACCTTAACCTAACTTTAAATCATTATTTAAAGCCTTGGTTTGCTATGATGTACACCAAAGCCCATAAATACATCTCCCAACATTAAAATTAAAAGAACTTGAGCTGTCTTACCTTCTGGGACTCAGTTATTTTTCTTCCTTCCTTTCTTTCTTTCTTCCTTTCTTCCTTTCTTTTTTGTTTTGTTTTTTGAGACAGGGTTTCTCTGTGTAGCTTTTGGAGCCTATCTTGGCATTCGCTCTGGAGACCAGGCTGGCCTCGAACTCACAGAGATTGGGCTGCCTCTGCCTCTGCCTCTGCCTCTGCCTCTGCCTCTGCCTCTGCCTCTGCCTCTGCTGGGATTAAAGGCAGGCGCCACCACCATTTGACTCAATTGTTTTTCTTACTCATTAACCAAAGCCACAGTCTCTATGGCTCCTCAAGAGAAACTCATGAATCCTAGCTGCATGACACTTCCTTGTTCTTATTTTCTATTCTCTGCAGTCCCTGCTTTATTGGGGGCCTGGGCAACACCATATCCTGTTTTTACCTATATTTATTTTTAGACTAAAATAACTTCTGTCACAATCCTTTAATTATTAAAAACTCTCAATCATCAAAATTCTATTTAACACTATTGGGAGGAGGTGTTCAAGACAGGATTTCTCTGTGTAGCTTTGGAGGCTGTCCTGAAACTGACTCTATAGACCAGGCTGGCCTCAAACTCACAAAGATCCACCTGCCTCTGCCTCCTGAGTGCTGGGATTAAAGGTGTGTACCACAACTGCCTGATCCTAACACTATTTTTCTATAAAAATCATTGCTTCGGGTAAACAGTACAGCTTAAGAGGAAAGTATCTTCAATCCACAGGTAAAAATGCCCAATAAAACAGGATATTTCCATGAGATAATCACACTACATTAAAGGCAGTGGGGATGCACACACACACACACACACACACACACACACACACACACCTATTCATACCAGAGAAAAAGGGCAGTGGCAAACATGCAAAGACACAGAAGAAGCAAGAGACTTTCTGGAGCCGAAGCCTCAGGACCTTGCCTATCCAAAACCCACTCATCAGTGCCTTGCATTCTGGTGCTTGCCACATGCTGCTCCTCTGACACAGTCACCAACAAATATGTGCACTTGCCAGGTATAGTGGCCCAAACTTTTAATCCCAGCACTTGGGAGGCTGAGGCAAGTGGATCTCTCTGAGTTCGAGGCCAGCCTGATCTATAAAGTAGGTTCCAGGACAGCCAGGGCTACACAGAGAAGCCCTGTCTAAAGGTGTGTGTGTGTGTGTGTGTGTGTGTGTGTGTGTGTGTGTGTGTGCGTGCGTGCGTGCGCGCGCGCCCTATTTCCATGTGTCCGCTTATCCGCTTACTTTCCTTCATAAAGTCCCATATTCATCATTAACAGGGAACTACCCTTGGTGAGACAATATATCATTTTTATTATGCATCTGGTTTTAATCACATGCACTCCTAAGTATGCATAGGCATACGATTGTAAATATTGGATTCTCCTTTTAAAAAAATGATCCCTTGGAGGACATAATTTTTCTTATTGAGCTTACAGCAAAGACTAGCCAATACTGTGTTGGCCCAATTTCCCCATGTCTTGGATGTGTAGTGGTTTGTATTTGAATGGAAATGGGCTTTGCTGAGGGTTTTCTATTGGGAGTGACTTATTTCCATTATATGTGTAGCCTGATGCAAAGTGTCTGGCTGCTCCCATGTTGGAGTAGCATATGTACATAGCCCAAGCTAAGTGAAGTCCCATGTTGCTAAAGCCTTTCCTATGCTTTCATGCCTTCATATATTTGTGGCAACCTCCAGTTGGAGAACATGATCTCCCAATGAAGCTCTTGTAGAAACAGCAACTCAACTCATGAGTCAATGTTTCTACAAGAACCTCATTGGGAGATCATGTTCTCCAATGAGTTGAGCTGCTGTTCGAATGAGAGTTGAAGGGGTTTATCAGTAGGAACAATGACAGTCATTACAAGAGAGGAGTGCTGCCAGGCTATATATCCAGTAAAGAAAGTCTAGGAAATGTGGTGATCTGGGAGAGCCTGTTTCCTTTGGGTTTGATTAGGAAATGGGAGAAATTAGTTCATAAGATGTTTATTACTTCATAATTAGAGAGAACAGGTTATTTGCAGCTTGTGTTTCAAAAAAGATGGGGCTCCTGAGCCCTCAGATGTATACACATTGTATTATTGTGGAAAGATGAGATATCAGAAAAAGTCACAAGATATAAAGGCACAAAAAGGAGGAAAGTTGCTCATATTAGACAAGCAGACATTGACTTGTCAGTCTGTCTTAACCAGAAGGATGTGACTTCCCAGTGCAGTGGCCTGGTTATCCTGCAATGGGCTGACACCTACTGCCTCTCATCTGTATCATGTGTAGGCAGACAGCAGGAGTTTTTTAAAGGGATAAGGAGTACTCAAGGAAAAGCTGAGAAGTAAATGGTCCCCATTCAAGGCCTTGCTCTATTGAGCTGGCTGTGGGGCTTGTGGCAGAACGATTATGCCATAGGAGAAATGACTTAGTTTGCTCCAGGGTCCAGAGCAAAGCTATTTTTCCACTATCCATGCTCAGTATCACATGTGGCCAGCAACACAGTAGCTTGTACTTGTTTTGTGTAATCTGTGCACGAAGAATTTTTTCCTCTCCCCTTTGACTTTTCTGCTTGTCTCTACAAACACACATTGACTACTGAAGCAGTGACTCTGTATCTCACAAATATGTGAGAACACAAGTAGGAGGATAAAATGGAAAGGAAACAAGAAAATCTCAGTTTTTATGAAAAGACATTTTCTTTTTAATTGGATCTATATATATGTCAGTGTGTATGAGAGTGTTGGGGACCAGTGGATACCCAAATAAGTTCTTAGATCCCCTGGGGTTGCAGTTACATGCAGGTGTAAGCCACCTGGATGTGGGAACTGGGAACAAACTCCACTCCTGTTTAAGAGCAGTGGTTACTCTGTCTTGTGTTTTGCTTTTGCTTTTTTGAGACAGGGTTTCTCTGTGGCCTTGGCAGTCCTGGAGCTTGCTCTGTAGATCAGACTCACATAGATCTGCCTGCCTCTGCTTCCCAAGATGCAAGGCATACGCTGCCACCACCTGGCAGAGCAGCTATTACTCTTAACTGCCGAGCTATCTTTCCAGCTGTAAAACAAGCATTGTCAAACCAAGTGGCTGCAAAGTTTGGTTTCAGTCCTGAGAAGTGAGGGCACTCACTCAGTTATTGTTTCTGGCCTCCTTTTGTTATGGAGGAGTTCAGTTGCTAAGGAGGGTAGCATGCATAGATGATTCAATTGATAGGCTGATTTGGGGTAAGCCTCTATTCACTGCACATGTCCTTTTCCATAATTCTTCAGAATTTTGTCATGTCCATATAAGATGAAAAAAAGATTTATTATCTTTATAGGTTCTTTTGCAACATTTGCCTATTGCCCACGTACCTAACACTAGTTTCTGTCAGATCAGTCCATAGTCTGGGTATGTTCTAATTTGTATTTGAATGGAGTCCACACATTACCAAGGTTGCTAAGTGGAATAATGTATTTTAATTGTTTAAAGCAGACATACTTGCATCCCAATGTATAGAGGATACTAGATTGGCAATAAGTTGGTAGGTACATTTTTCAGAAAGCGGTATTTGCACAGTCCAAGCCAAGTAGAGCCACACATTGTTCAGTTATTCCTATGCTTGCTGCCTCTCTATTGTCCCAGTGTCCAATGCAGCTTAACAATGCAGCTGCTTTGTAATCTGCTTGTCCAGCACTTTAAGATTGTATACACTCTCCTCTGTCACATAAATTAGTCCATTATCTTATATTCAACTTCATCCAGGATCTTAAGCCCTGGCCAGAACAAATCCAGATTTGTGGCAAAGTAGGAAAAGAATAGCCTCTGTCTCAGATCCTGATGGAATTCTAATTTTTGTCTAAAATGCCACTAGGTGGGCTGCCTATCTGCATTTCTGTCAGTATCCTTGTCTTCCCACTTTCACTATGATGGCCTGGGCCTGTCAAGGTGGCAGATCTTGTCAAATTGGCAATTAACACTAACAATTTCCCTATTTTAGGAGCCAGTGACTTTTGAGGATGTGGCTGTGAACTTCAGCCCAGGAGAGTGGGCTTTCTTGGATTCTAGTCAAAAGAAGCTCTACAGAGATGTGATGACAGAAAGTTTTATGAACCTGATCTCCATAGGTAAAAAAACAAAACAAAACAAAAAAACCCACTATGATTCTTTTGCTTATTCAGTGAGAGAAGAGCTGTTTATTGCTTATCTGTATAGTTTCATGAATTGAAATATTGAAAGGTGACTGTAGCATGCCAAGTCATATTATACCACAGTAAAAGGTAGACTGTAATAAGTGTTTTCTAGTGCTAGCTAAGTCATAATGATTTCTTTTGATTTACTTCCAGGGAAGACAGAAGAAAACATTGAAGAGGAGTGTGCAAATGACAGAAATCTCCGGTAATTCACACTCAAAAGGGGGAATTTGCATCAAGTATTTGCAATTTATTTCAGAAACTATAAAAGCCAAGCCAATAATCCAACTACATCTAAATGTAAAAATGGTTCTATGACAAATTTTTCTAAAATTTGCATTGAGTTTGTCCATCCAGAATTGTTGAGGACTCCATCTGTATTAATATTTTCTGAATGTGTTACAACATTAGGCAGTGTAAAACATTTTCCATTTGAAATAGGCAACATGCAATACAGTATTTTAATATATTTTTATCAGGTTGTCTTTAGGATTTGGATATATGCCTCTATATTAAATACAGTGAATTTCAGTTTTTAAATTGGAATCTAACATCAACAAATCTCACGAAGGTTACTCCAGTATTTCAAATTTCATCATGCTTGATCAGTATCCTTTGCATGAGTAATTTTTCTCAGAGTTAGCTGGTATAGACATTTTCAAAACTAATTCTTTGATAATTTCATGCATGTATGCAATGTATCTGATTATAGAGATATCCTTCTCCTTTCTCTCCAACTCCTCTGGTACCCTTCCTCACATCCCTCTTCCAGATACATGTCTTCTTGTTTAAAGTTTTTTTTTATAACCCATGGAATCAAAGTAGTATTACCTATATAGCAGGGTACTGGATACAGGGTATTCCAGCATGAGAACCCACAAAGGTCCATATTCTTGAAGAAAAATTCCTTATAAAAGTAAAGTTTCTACTTAGTATTGTCCCTTAGATCAGGATCTTTCTTTGTGAACCTCAAAGTTGGGGTCATTCTACTGCCTCCTAAATACTCTGTCAATGGGAGGTAATGGGAGTGAGCCACAGCATCCAGCCACCAATGCTTCTCTTGCCTAATCTTAAAATATTAGTTATGCTCTTTTCATTTTTTCTTTGTAGAACTCAGGTGGTTGAGAGAGACTGTAAATATGGAGATGCTTGTCAGTGTGAAGCCCACCACCAGATCCCAGAGTACGTTGTTAATGAGGACATGCCTTCTGCAACCACAGTATTTGAAAGCAGTGTGTGTGTAAGAGGCACTATTGGTCATTTACCCTCAGATGTGCATCTCATAGGCGAAACTGGAAAGAAACCATGTGAGAATAAGGGACATGTGGAGGTAGCTTTTCAACATGAGAAACATTATACAGATTTCACTTCTAAATGCCTTCAGGGGTTCAAAAGTCCTAGGCACATAGTTTATAAAAAGAAACAATCTAATGATGCCTATAGAATTTGCACTTCTGATAAAAATTATGAGCAAATTTACAGTGATGGCACATGTCAGAAATATAATCAGTTTGAAAAAGCCATCAGGAAATACACTTACTTTCAAATGTATGAAAGAATCCACACTGGAGTGAAATCATTTATGTGTAAGCAATGTGGAGAAACCTTTATTAATTTCAGTCAGCTTGTCTACCATGAAAAAATTCATACCGGAAAGGAATGTTATGTGTGTAATCAATGTGGAAAAGCATTTAGACATTATTCCTACCTTCAGAAACATGAAAAAATCCACAGTGGAGATACACCCTATGTATGTAAGCAATGTGGCAAAGCCTTCGTTCGTTCATCACACCTTCTTGTCCATGAAAGAATTCACACTGGTGAGAAACCTTACACATGTAAGCATTGTGGGAAAGCCTTCAGCCATCACAGTGCCTGTTATAGACATGAAATAATCCACACTGAAGAGAAACCCTACGTTTGTAAGCAATGTGGAAAAGCATTTACTTGTTCTACATCCCTTCGCAACCATGAAAGAATTCACACTGGAGAAAAACCTTATGCATGTAAGCAGTGTGGCAAATCCTTCATCCAGCGTGATGCTTGTTACAACCATGAAAGAACTCACACTGGAGAAAAGCCCTATGTATGTAAGCAGTGTGGGAAGGCATTTACATGGTCTACATGCCTTCGAAACCATGAAAGAACACATACTGGAGAGAAACCTTATGCTTGTAAGCATTGTGGAAAAGCCTTCACCCATTCTAGTACCCGTTACAGTCATGAAAGAATACATACTGGGGAAAAGCCATATGTATGTAAAAAGTGTGGGAAGGCCTTCATTCATTCCAGTCATCTTATCAGCCATGAGAAGATCCACACAGGGGAGAAACCTTATCCATGTAAGCATTGTGGGAAAGCTTTCATTCAGCGTAAGGCTTGTTACAATCATGAACGAACTCACACTGGAGAAAAGCCTTATGTATGTAAACACTGTGGGAAAGCATTTAGGTGTTCCACATATCTTCGGAACCATGAAAGGACTCACACTGGAGAGAAACCTTATATATGTAAGCATTGTGGAAAAGCCTTCACACATCAGAGTGCCCGTTACCGTCATGAACGAATTCACACTGGAGAGAAACCGTATGTATGTAAAAAATGTGGAAAAGCCTTCAGTGATTGCAGCTATCTCGTGAAGCATGAAAGAATTCATTGGAGAGAAACCTTACACATGTAAAAATAGGGAAGCTTTTATGTGTCCCACATCCCTTTATATGCATGAAAGAGCCAACAGAAAAGAACTGAAGTGTTTACAGCAGTATATCTGATGGCCTTGTCTGTGGACAACTTCCTTATATTGTGAGGTATAAAAGAAAAGTGTGAACAGCTCACAAGAAGGCTCAGTGAGTAAAGCTGCTTATTTCTAAGTCTGATAATCTGAGTTCCATCCCAGGGTCCCATATGGTGGAAATACAGAATTATTCCCAAAGTATACCTCTGAGTTCCATATATACACATGGGCCCATACACAAGCTCAAAAATATTTATGTTTTAAAAAGTGGAGACTAACAAAGCTGCAAAGGTGTAGTTGTATCCCCAATATGCAAATATATATATATATATATATATATATATATATATATATATACATATACTATATATATACATATATGTATATTTATGATATATGGTAAAATCTTGTTGCACTGGGTATGGTAGGGCATGCTTTTATTCTAGCTCTGGGTGAAGGAGCGATGGTAGAGATTAGAGAATTATAATGGCTATAGTGGGTTTGGACACCACATGGGAAGCTTAAGAAGAACCAGTTATAAGCAAGTAGAATTTTTTTACAAAAAGAAAAGATGGTTCAGCTATTTAAAGTACACACTGCTTTACCCAAGGACCTGAGTTTGTTTCCTAGCATCCACACAGTGTGGCTCACAAACATCTATAATTCCAAATCCAAAAACTGTGATACCCTCTTCTGGCCTCTGTAGGTACAGAACATATGTAATACACATACATAATAAATGAAAATACATCTTGAAATAGTTATGTGCATAAAAGAAGCAGGAGAGATGTATGTTTGTTTGAATAAGAAAATATATGAAATATTAATCTTTTAAGAGTAATGTGGAGAGTGAACAAATATGTTTGCACAGAATTGAGTACAGCTGGAGCATTTTTATCATTGTTCAATTCTTATACGAGACCTTTAATTTGCATATTGTTTTTTATAGTTTTGAAGTAAGATATGGTGAATGATGTCATAATTTTGCCTGCCTGTATTGCCTAGTGCTTGGAATGCTGAAGCCACCAAGACACTGTCTCTGACAATAGCAACTATATAAAAAACATTTTGTTGGGGCTGGAGAGATGGCTCAGAGGTTAAGAGCACTGGCTGCTCTTCCAGAGGTCATGAGTTCAATTCCCAGCAACCACATGGTGGCTCACAACCATCTGTTATACACATGGGCCCCTGAACACTTCTAGTGTTCAGATATACATGGAAGCAGAATGTTGTATACATAATAAATAAATAAAATCTTCTTTAAAAAAAAACATTTTGTTGAGGTGATATAAGTTTGGTTAACTAATTTCAGTTCAAGTATCTTTTAAACGAAGTGAGGAAATACTTTTTCAACTTCACTGTAGAGATACTGCATTCATTGAACTGAGATGCATTTGTAATAAAGCAGTAAACTTAATTTTACCTTGTTTGTTGTGATTGTGATTCATTTGAAAGTAAAAATGTATGCTTCTTAAAAGTATTTTCCCATATGTCATTTTTTAAATTATTGTTAATTGCTTTGCAATTTCCTTATATTTGTGTGAAAAAATGGATTTTTTTGGTATTTACATAGATTTTATATTTTGTGCTTTTCAGTGTATGTGTTGTTCCAATAATAGTGTCTTGTTTCTTTTTTGTTTGTAAACAGGATCTCACTATGTAGGTGTGGCTGGCCTAGAACTCACATAGCTCCTGCCTTTGCCTCCAATGAGTTGGAATCGAAGCTCGCACCACCACACCTGGCTCAAATGAGATTTTTTTTGTATATGTGTTTTACAGTTACTTATTTATTTATCTGCTTGCTTGGTTGGGTGTTTTGTTTTTTTTTTTTTTTTTTTTTTTTTTTTTTTTGGTTGTTTTGTTTTGAGAAAGGGCCTTATTGTGTAACTGTGGCTGTCCTGGGCCTATGTAGACTAGTCTGGCCTCAAGCTTATCGATTCACCACCTTATGTCTTCCAATGGCCAGGATTAAAAGCATGAACCAGTATGTTTGGCTGTGTGTTTTAGTTGTTTTTTTTTTTAAATAATTGATAAAAAACCTTATTACTGGTGAGTGTATATGTTTAAGCTCACCTGCACATGAGTGCCTGTGGAGACCACAATCATCAGATCTTAGGAGTTGGAGCTGAAATGGGTGGTGGGAGCTAAACTCAAGTTTTCTGAAGACCAGCAAGAAATCTTAAGTGCAAAACCATCTCTCTAGCCCCTTCTTGCTCTTAATTTTTCTGACAGTTTTAAACATTTATATAATTAAATTTAGTCCTTTTCTCTTCCACATTCCCTTTTCATCTCTGTCCCTCTGCTGCTGGGATCCTTCATGAGTCCTCTTCTTGTTTCCATGTTCTATGTGTGCCCCAGTGAGTCTAATCTGAGTTTCTTGCTCAAGCATGAATTAAGCATTATATACTGAAGGGCAAATTGTTTGAGCCTATACCACCGGAAATAGGACTTCTCCTCTGCAACAACTATGAATTGCCAATAGTCCCCACTGGGTATGTGGGGAATCTCGTTTCCTTCTCCCATCCATGGTGACACGTTCACAGGCCCAATCTTGTATAGATCTGCTGCCGATAACCACAGGTGCAGTGAGTTCTTACCACACACACACACACACACACACACACACACACACACACACACCACTTTTTTCAGATGGTATCTGTTATGTAGCTCTGGCTGTTCTGGAACTGGCTATGTAGACCAGGCTGGCCTCCTGTGCTGGGACTAAAGTCATTACACAATGCCCAGCAAGTTTGTACATATTTTCACTGCACTTTTTCCTTCCGAACCTTTGTCTTTATTCCACCCCCACTTCTGCACTGTTCCTCAGTCCTTGGAGGGAATGATTTTTCTGATCCATTTAAGAATCAACACTCTACCATTACTTATTCATGGTACTTGGTCATTCATGGGTTTCTAAGCCATTACCTTGTACAGTGAGAAGCATCTCTGATGAAGAATGTGTGCAACCTTAATCTCTGGGTGTTAGTGCTTACAAGATAGTTTGACAAAGTGACCATGTATCCATATAGTAAGAAGTTCCCCCTCTCCCCTGGGACCTATGTTCTCACCAGTCACAGACTTTGAAGAACAAGGCATGCATCTCTCTTGTCACCAGTACAGGGACACATCCAATTGAATTGTTAGCTAAAGGGATTCTATAGATATCCTCAAACAATCCAGACTGTTGCAAAGACACAGACTGCCCCCCCCCAACTGACAGCAAGGCCTCATCATTGAAAACAACACCCACACAAGTCATTAAACATGGAACAATTAAGCGGATGCCTACACAGATCCTTCACCCCCATCTTCTAGTATTTTCGGTATGGGAAGGTACTCTCTAGGCTACTTGAAGAAAAATATTAACACCAGCCCAGCCGCAAGCCCTGTGATCTACAACTGTCCTGCTGCAAAATATGCTAGGGCAATAATAGCACAAAGCTTGTGAGAGTAAGCAACGAATGTCTGATTAGACTTCAGTCCCACTCCTCAAGACAGAACCCATTGATACCCACAGGACTGAAACTGTTGGGGTGACCAAGAACCAGAGAGTAGATAGCCCAGAGACCTAGGATAATACCAAATACCACTAGTCTAAAAAGAAAAAAAGGGGGAATCAATAGTAACAATATTGTGCTATACTCATAGATCAGTTCCTTATTCAGTCATTATCATATATAAAAATATAGCATCTCCAAATAGGGATACTTTGACCACTTCTATTCCTACGTATTCTTTTCATTTCTGCCTTCTATTACTTTAGCTAATATTCTTTCTACTCAGTTTCTCCCTTTGTCTTTAGATTGTGTGTGTGCGTGTGTTTAGATTCTTGTGGGGTTGGATGAGCATGGAGTCATATGCCTTTTATTTCAGTACCTTGGAGATAGAGAGGCATTCAAAGCCAGCAGGATTACACAGAGAGACTATCTTAAAAACAAACTCATCAACAACAACAACAAAAAAAAAGCCTAACTCAAAGTAGTTGTCTTTGGCTTCCCTGGTTATGTTTACTCCAAGAATTTGGTTTTTTTTTGGGGGGGTGTCTATTTTTATGGGTTTGAATATTTTGAATGTGATTATTTTCCTGAGTTCTTTCATAGGATTTTTGTAATTATGACATAGAAAAGCCTCTAATTTTCATGTATTAATTTTTGTATTCTGACACTTTGCTGAATTATTTTTTTAAAAAAACCACTTCCAAGGGACTCAGCAGATAATGACACTTGCTGCTAGACTATAAAACCTTGACAACCTGAATTTGATACTAAAGCCCTCATAAAAGTAGGACAAGAAACCGAGGAGTGAGGTGTCGTTGGTGGCGCAGTCTTGGAGTAATCCAGGATGGCTACTCTGATCTTTGTTGATAAGGATAATGAAGAACCAGGCAGCTGTTTGGCATCCAAGGATGGGTTGAAGTTGGGGTCTGGTGTCAAAGCCTCAGATGGGAAATTGCAGATCTCAGCGTCACAAGTTGGCAGTGTTCAATGCTCCAGTCTTGCCTAAAGCCAGCAGAAAAGCTTTGGGAACTGTCAGCAGGGTTACAGAAAAGCCAGTGAAGATCAATAAACCCCTCAAACAGAAACAGCCAACTTTGACTGTGAAAAAGACCACTGAGAAGGCTCCTAAGACAGAAGTCTCTGTTCCTGCTTCTGATGACGCATACCCAGAAATAGAAAAGTTCTTCCCCTTCAATCCTCTAGATTTTGAGAGTTTTGACCTGCCCAAGGCGCACCAGATTACACATCTCCCCTTGAGTGGGGTGCCTCTTATGATCCTGAACGAGGAGAGAGTGGGCTTGAGAAGCTGCTGCACTTGGATCCCCCTTTGCCTCTGAAGACACCCTTTCTACGGTGGGAATCCAATCCCTTGCTATCTCCTTCCAGCGGTTCTCTCCAACCTGGATGTTGAATTGCCACCTGTTTGTTATAATGAAGATAATTAAACTTCTTACTCCTTTATAGTTTATGTATGTTGTATTAATAAAGCATTTGTGTGTGGGGGGGATATGAATTCTTAAAAAAAAAAAAAGTAGGACAAAATTGACTCCAAAAAGTTGGCCTCTCACCTTCACATACACACTGGCATATTCATTCCCACAGATACATCATAAACACAATAAATTAAATAAAATTAAAATTTTATTTAAAACCTAAATGATGAAAATAATTATGTAAAGAACAAAGTAATTTAAAAACAGTGTTGCTTGGGACTGAGGAGATATAGGAGCACTTACTCCTTTTCCAGAGGGCCTCTGTTCAATTCCTAGCACCCATAAGACACCTAACAACTGTCTGTAACTGCAGTTCCAGGGGAATAAATTCCCTGTTCTGGCCTCCATGGACCCCCAATCATTCCAAAAGAAAACAATTGCCAACACAGAATACTATAGCTAGCAAAGATATCTAGTACAATTGAAAGAAAAATGAATACACAATCTGAAGGCAAATACAAACACGCCCAAGCAGTCACAAGGAGTAAAGAATTTCAGAACAGTCATCAAAAGAGGTCTAAAAAAACCACCCCAAAACAAAAATTGATGGAAATTAATATATACTGCTCACCGATAACATTTATCTATTTTCATTTATTTTAACATATATATCAGATATACATACATTCATACACATATACATACATATATGTCAGCCCTGGAACTAGACTAGTCTTGCCTCAAACTCACAAGGATCAACTATCAACTAATAACTTTTAATATAATGGTTTCTTGTTGTTGTTGTTAAAGAGTCCACAGAGGTCTTTTATTTATGTGTTTTACATCACTAGAAAAAGAATCCTAGGATTTTTCCCTCCTGTGTGTTTTCATCTTGCTTCTTCATGGTTCATGATTCCATCTGAGGTCAGTACAATGAAGCTCAACTGATAGAATGGGAACAGATTGTTCTGCTATTTTCCTAGGCCTTTAAGATACACATTAAATATAGGGCTTATCACTCCATACTGTTCAACCTGCTTGTAAAGGTCACAATGTGATCAACTCTGTGATCAACAATGATTTCTAATTCACCAATGTAAACACACATCATCATCACAGTTAGGAACTGAACAATGACTTTGGAGCATTGCCTGATGAGACCTGGCATTTGCCTCTCAGCATTACTGGTGTTCTTGAGAGCATCTGCCAGGGCATTTGTGTGTGCCATAGTCATGGACATGGAAAGATAGGAGAAAAGCAATATTAATGGTTTCAGTTCTCAATAAAGAGATACAGACTAGCATGTTATAGAAAATAAGTTCCATCTTTTTGCTATCTTCAAGTAACACACCTCACCATAGAAGAAGGATGCAGCCCTAGCATAAAAATGGAAGGAGTTATTCAAGCCAAACAAACAAGTGGGCATTCAGATTTGTTTGGGGTCAAATAAACATTGTCATCATCATTTGGGAAAAGGAATTTGTAACAT